TGAAGATTCTGGCTTGGACGTTATAAATGACCAGACAAGAAAGTGAGCTGCAGATTTTACAACTCAGTGATGGTGGTAACATTAGCAGTATTTAACAATGTGTGTCCTCCTCTACAAACAGCGCTTTCCAGATTTCCACCAGCTACTCTTGGAGGGGGAGGAAATTGAAAACATGCCCCTGGAATCGTGAGGCATCAAGTTGTGGGATAAAGTATCTTGTTTTATCTTGAGAGAAAGCTTTTGCTTCTTTCCATATCTATTTGTTTTAGTTGAAAAATAAGTTACTTTACTGGTTATCTCCTTACCATCACTCTAACCCTTTAAGGACAGTGGGTAGTCTGGGAAGATGGTGCTTGTTTTGCTATATTGTACCAAGGCGGCTGTCACCCCATGTCAGGAACAGATGCCCCAGTATGGGAGCAATGTTTTCCTTGTTTGAACTGCTTCACTAGCATCCACTGGACTTTTCAAGTAGCACAAGGGTGACTAACCTGAACTTTCTCCCATCTGGGTCTCCTTCATTTTTCTTCTTCTGGTTTTTTTTTGGAAGGGGGGAGGTGAATCATACTGGGGTTTGATCTCAGGGCCTTGGCAAGCACTCTACTACCTTAGCTATACCCCTGCACTTCCTTGGCTGGCTTGCTTTGCTTGCTTGCTTGCTTTTCTTTCCTTTTTTCTCTTTTCTTCTCTTCTTTTTCTTTCTTGAAAAGAGTTTTGCGGTTCTGGGGTTTTTTTGTTTTGTTTTTGTGCTACTGGAGTTTGATACCCTTGTTAGACAGGCACCGTACTATTTATTTGAGCCATACCTCGAGCCCTGTGGCCTTTTTTTTTTAAAGATTGGATTTTGCATTTTTGTTCAGGTCTGACCTGGACACTGATGCTCCCATGTAGTTTGGGTAACAGGCACGCACCACCACTTTATGCTTATTGATTGAGATTGGGGTCTCATTGACTTTCTGCCTGGGCTAGTTGTGAACTGTGATCCTCTTAATCTCCACCTCCCAGGTAGCTGGGATTGCAGATGTAAGCTACCCTGTCTGGCCTCCCTCACTTTTCTTGTTCCTTCTGTCGCCTTAGGTATTGATTCCTTATTTATCAAACTACATGGTTTCTTTTTTCACTTGATTGGCATGACTTTTTAGCCTCTTGATATGTCACGGCAGTTTTACTTTTATTTTTGGAATGTCTTCTCTTTTTTTTTTTTTTTTTGGTACTTATGTTTGAAATCAGGGCTTTGCACTTGCTAGGCAGGTACTCGATCACTTTAGACACAGCCCTAGCCCTGGAATTTCTTTTTTTGTACAAATACAGTGAAGGATACCAAATATATCTATCTGATTCTAGCATGTGCATACTTTTTTTTCCCCTCAAGATGCTGCTTAATATTTTACCTAAGGCACAGTAACTGTACACATGACATTAAAAATAGCAGGCAGCTCATATGTGCATACAATGTTTGGAAAAAAAAAATAGCAGGCAGCTGGGTGCTGGTGACTCACACCTGTAATCCTGCCTACTCAGGAGGCAGAGATCAGGAGGATTGTTGTTTGAATCCAGTCCCCAGCAAATAGTTCTCGAGACCCTATCTCGAAAATACCCAACACAAAAAAGGGCTGGCAGTGACTCAAGTGGTAGAGTGCATGCTCAGCAAGTGTGAGGCCCTGAGTTCAAACCCCAGTACTGCCAAAAAAAAAAAGGCATAGCCTGGGTTATTGTTTGTTGCCAACTTCTTCTGGGGATGAGGGCAGGGTTTGCGGTGATAGTGGGGAATAAATTGTTATTTCTGTCTCTTGGAAGGAAGAAAACAAGCTCAGGCCAGCATGTAGGAAAACTAACTTCAGGATGCAAATGGTCCCAGCTCATGGTTGTTACATGTATTGTATTTCTAATCACTTTTAACAGTTGATTGCCAATTTTTGTTAATCATCACAAGTGTGTGGTGTTCTTGGGTAATTTAATAGCAGCAAAGGTTTCCTTTGTGGCGTATTTTTATACCTAAATCTTACATGAAAAGGTTCATTGCTGATTTACTGATACTAAAGAGTTGGTTCATGTTAAGCCCTAAGAAGTCCTTTGTTTGGGTGTCATTTGTGCTCAATTGATTTCTTCCCTGAAATTCACTGTTGACTTTCAAGTGGTCTAATCTTGCTTGATCCCCATGTTTTCCCACTATCCTTGTGTAAAACATAGGTTTTTTTTTTTCTCAGTTGGTGTCCTATCTTTTGAATGACACCTGCTACAAAAGTAGCTTTTTACATAGGACTTGGAGATTTTGAATGTTTTTTAACATGTCAGTGTGTTTTCATAACAATTTTGTGAGGTAGGCAGTATAGGTATTGCTGTTACCTCTTTTATAGGTGAAGAAATAAGAGACCTGTGAGTATGACTTGCAGCTTGGTAGTAAAGCCAGGGCTTGCCCAGCTCTCTGGATTTCCAGCTCTCTGAACCTTTTTGCTCCAGTAGTTGCATAGTGTCTTAGGAACATTTTCTAGAAGCCTTCCAATTTTCCCAAAATAGGAAAAATTTAATAGGCAGGTTGAGTTTTCTACAGGAGGATATCCCTAAAATACTTCAAGGGCTTTTTTTTCGGTTTTTGGTTTTTGTGGTACTGAACTCAAGGCCTTTTGCATGCTAGGTAAGAATGAGCTACATAGTTGTTACTTGAGCTTCCCAGCCCAGATTAATTTTAGTTAAGTCTTAAATTTAAGGAAGAAACAATGGGTTTTCTGAATTTCCAAGTAGGACTGGTTAAGGATGTTTGTTTCCTGAGAACAAAGTAGACTAAATCACAGAAGAGATAGTGAGTGGTTTTCATTTTTTCACTTATTTCTAGAGGTGGTATTTTACTCTGCCTTGAAACATTATTTAAAAAGTTATTTTTAAAAAGAAGAAGGAAAAAAAGTTATTTTATAAAAAAGAAGGAAGTAAAGGAGGGAGGGAGGGACAGAGGGAAGAAACAGTAGTAGTGAAGGTAGTTTTTAAAAATCTATACAAGTGGTACATTTCCATGAAGTAAAGCTGTGGAATCTAAAATGTCAAACTTCTTTACCTTTGGTTGGGATTTAATGAGTGTAATTACAAGCTCTGGTTGTCAGCCAAGTGGTCATAACCAGTTTTTTTGTTGTTTTAAAATTGCCATCCAGGATAGAAAAAAAATGAATTGTGCCGAAGGCTTCTTAATACTTAGTCTAAGTCTAAGATGTGTGTGCAGTGATGTGGCAAGCCCACCAGGTGGCACCAAGAATTTTCTTAGCTGTTCAGTCCCCAACTACCACCTGGAACACTTGAAGCCTATTTCGATTTCCCCTTATAGACTGTGGCTTAACTATAGCTGTGGTCTCAGTTCTTGTTCCCCATCTTTCCTTGAACCCCCTTAGTGCTGCTATTTGTGGTCTGTATTGGCATCTAACCGCATTCTGCCTTCAGGGGAAGTTGTGGATACAGGCTCCTCTCTAGATGCTAAGCTGCTCAAGACCAGGCTAGCTGTGTTTACTGGAAAGCTCACTCCTTTCTGTGTTTATAGCAATACCAGGCTCAGGGCGTCAGAGCCTTGTTCAGTTAGCATCTGTTTGTTGTCTGTGGGCTAGTTGTGAGCCTCCAAACAGTTTATGTTCAGTATATTTTGCTTTGATAAGTATGCTTATGTTCCCAGTGACTTTTAATTTAAAAAAAATTTTTATTAGCATATATTAGTTGTACAGAGGGGTTTCACTGTAACATTTTCACGTGTGCTTACTTTTTTATTTATTTGTTTTACAATGTATCTTAGTTAGCTTCACTCCCTCCATCATTCTTCCTCATGCTCCCTCTTCCCTATAAATGACTTCTGAGGTGATGATTTTTGTGTTATTTCATAAACCTTACTGTATACTGAACCCCGACTAACCACTTTGAATAAGTTCAAAGACGGTTGTAGAGAGCATTCTGATGGATGGGTCTTTCCTGTATCTCTGCAGTTGGTCATGCAATGGGACCTCCATGTGTGACGGATGGTAGATGGACATATAGGTAGGAGTTTGTGAAAAGCACAAAGAATCTTCTTTTGTAGCTCTCATCTCTCTGTCCTGTTTGGGCTCCCAACAGGGAATCCTGTAGCTTGCAGAGCTATCTGATCAGGAAAGAAAACTTACACTTACCAAGGGAAGGCCTGGGAGGAGCAGAAATGCTATGAGCATGTTTTGAATTATGTCATTTTATTGGGGACCATTAAGTAAATGGATATTCAGCTTCTCTATTTTAGATAACAGATGAGGCTTTTAAGTCTATTGGAAGGAAATTTGAAAAGATTGCATAATAATGTTATTTCATTAATATGGCCAACCTACACAGGCAACCAGTTGTTTTCTCAGCCTGACCCTGACTCTGGTTTCTTTTTTATGGATACCTTTCCAAAGAGTTTAATTTGATAAAATATTCAGAAGTTCTGAGTTTGATAGTCTTAAGAGTGTGCAAAACTCTGAGCAAAAGCATTTACATTGCTTAATTTGATTTTAAAATAGCCATAGTCTAGTTGATACTGAAGATGGTAATGTTGATGTGGTGTCCAGCTGCTTCTCCAACCCTAGTGACTTTGATAAATCAAGACCGTATTTTTATTTCTAGAGCTAGGAGTACCTAAGCTAGCAGTTTTGACCTTTGAATGTGAACCAGAAGTTCTGGTTATGAGCTGAAGAGAAAATGACAGCCTTTCTTGTCCATTAAAAAACTAGCACCCATTCATACTCTTTGCCCTTTGTCCTGCAGTGGAGCACAGATTGTGATCCCTGCTCTTTGGGGTGGCATTATTTTAAAGAATGTGATCAGAATTGGCCTGTTAGATACTCATATCTTTGACCCTATTTCCATTTATTATCTTTGGCAGTTGAATTTTCATTCATTGAGATGGGGTCAGGTAGCTTATAAGACCATTTTTAGAAATGAATCCAATAAACCTTTTCAAGATAACCCTCAGGAATTGCTAGCATAAACTAATGTGACTAATATGGCTGCTTTGTTTTTAGGTGATTGGTGAGGACAATGTGGCAGTCCCCTCACACCTTTATAAAGTGATCCTGGCTCGCAGAAGCCCAGAATCTACAGAACCATTGGCACTGGGGGCTTTTGTGGTTCCCAATGAAGCCATTGGCTTCCAGCCTCAGCTAACTGAGTTCCAGGTGAGCCTTCAGGACCTGGAGAAGTTGTCAGGTCTGGTGTTTTTCCCTCACTTGGATAGAACTAGTGATATTCGGAATATATGCTCTGTGGACACCTGTAAGCTCCTGGATTTCCAGGAGTTCACTCTGTACCTGAGCACAAGAAAGATTGAAGGAGCCCGTTCGGTGTTCAGACTGGAAAAGGTCATGGAAAATTTGAAGAATTCAGGGATTGAACCAGATGATTACTTCATGAGTTGCTATGAGAAGAAGCTAGAAGAACTCAGAGCTAAGGAGCAGTCAGGAGCCCAGATGAGAAAACCATCCTAGTTTGTGTTTAGAAGATGTGTACTAATCACCTATAATGAAGTTGGCATGCCTTCTTCAATCAGATGTGTTGTAATGGCTTTGCTTTAAAGAAATGATGGAATCCTAAATTTAAGACTAAAAATCCCTCCAAAGGATGAAAGATCTGTAATTTTTTGGTGTATTTTTTGGCTTGGGAACTAATTATTAAGGAAACTGTCACATCTGCAGATGGAGAGCTGACCTTATGTCAAATTAACAAGAGGACTTTGTCCACAAGATGCCACTGCATTCATGTCTGCACAGATGAAGTGTGTGAAGGAAGGCATTCTGCTTATTTTATGCCTCCAAATCATACATTGACTGATGTGTCTGCTCGACTGTCTTGGAACTGAGTATGTTTTCTTTCCCTAGGATCTGAGTTGGTCTTAGAGATAGTTTTTTGAAATCCTCTATTATCCTGTCCAAATATACTATATAATTTATTTCTTGTTGCTTCTTTCATGATCCTTCTGTTCTTCCACTACACAACTATGGTTTCTGCTCACTGTGTTCTGTACACTAAGCTCAGTGCTTTTCATACATTATCTCACAGTGACCCTCTGGAGTAAATACCACTTATCCCCACTTTACCTGTGAGGAAATTCTTGCTTAGAGAACTTTGTATCTTGCCCATAGTATTCACCTTTCCAGAGATGTCACTCACAAAGTATGAGGCATGTAGGGCAGAGAGAAAACAGACAGGAAAGACAGATTGAAGCTTTTGCCTCAGAAATAACTACCTAGAACCATGAGCATCTATGGTCTTGAGGTCTGCTTGGTAAGAAGAGTCTTTTTTTTTTTTGTCTCAAGCCAAAAGGACTTCATTGTCCTCTGACCTTCTTTAGCTCTTTGGAAAGAAACAGTGCAGGTCAGAGGACGATGCTCTTGTGGGGTTTATCAGAGCCTGTGTTTGCCTTCAGGTGTGCAGTTCTTTCAGTGATCAGATAGTACCAGATAGTTGTGTGTCTTGCTTCTCACATGTACTTTTTTTTGTTATAAAGATTAAGAAACCTAAGAAGGCATCACCAGCTCATGATTGCTTCTGTGCCTGCTTATCTACCTGGGCAGCACAGGCCAAGTAGAGTGGAGCTTTGGCTCCAGAAATAGTTACCACCCCCAGGGGAAAAAATGGTGGCTTCTCTGAGCCAGATTTCTAGACTGGATTTATTTAGTCCTTTCTTGGGCTATCACAGTGAAATAACTTGAGGACACAAGAACTTGTCTAAATCTGTCATACTGATGTTGCTTTCCAAGTAGTATTCCAAGAACAGTTTTTTTTTTGTGTGTGTGGTGTTTTTGTGTTTGTCTCTAGAAATGCCAAGGCTTTAAGAAGAGAATGATTGACCTTGTTCTGCTTCTTTATTTGAGTAAAAAGGAAAAGTTAGGGGGTAGAACACAGTAGCCTGATTGGTACCATTCTGTTTTATCATACTGTTCCCCATCAGTTTATGCCAGTCCTTCTCTTCTCAGGGATATAGAGCCAAAATGTCACTGTGACCAAAAAAATCTGTTGTTTTCTCTCCTCGGTAGAGAGGTGAGAATACACATAGGGCTGGGTATTTCTCCAGGATTCTGGGGAAAGTTCTGTGGGATGTGTCCTGCCTAGGTACCTCTTTGGTTGAGCCTGGCTGTTTCCCTGTTACCATGCTCCATTCTGGTCAGTAGCCTTGGAGTCACTTCCTGTACTCTTCTTACTCCAGCTTTGAATTTTAGATCAGTAAATTAAAGTGTCTTAGGTTTTTATTTCCTATGAAAGATGCTACCTGCTCATTGTGAGAAATGGAGATAAGAGCGTATAATACAAGAAAAGTCTTATTTTTATATGTAAAAATCTTGTTGGTATATTAACAGTGATACTTGAACAATTTTGTTGAGTCTCCCAAACAAACTTTACTTTCATTAAGAGTCCCCCAATCAAACAAGCCTAGAATTTTTTTCTAGATTAAGTCATTTTGGCTCCCCTTAGTGTGGCTGTTGATTTTTCTGGACTCCAATGCAGCAGATTCCTGGGTCTCTCCCAAGCAGCAGATGTAGCCATCTTTTTGGAGAACACCTCATTACCAGCTAAACCCAAGCAGATTGTTATCCAGTTGGTACCTCAGCTGAGTTCTTGGGCTGAGTCTGGATCTCTGCCTCTGTCCCTTTTACCCACTAACTCCCTGGTTGTAGGGATAGGCTTCTCTGGAGGAACTGCCTGCTCTGCTGCAGGAAGCCCTATTACTCTCTAACCTTTCTCTACCTCCAGTGATGTCCTCAGACTCTGATCTCCAGATTGAGGCTCTTTTACTAAAGTTGTATGCAGCAAAGGTGGACCTTACACTGTCACAAAGATCAGGAGAGTGGGTATGTTGGCCCTTTAGATATCTGCAAACATTTCTGCCCTTAACACCCTCAGATGACTGAAAACTTCTGTTCCTCCTTAGGCCTTTGATTAGAGCCCAGTAGGAGAGGCAGCCTGTTCTTGAGGGAATGGCTTCATGCAGAGCAGGACTCAGCTTGAAGCCCAACACTTGGAATGATCCTGTGTGTTGCCATGTCACCTGTATCCCCTGGCTTTGTCCTTGTCAGTGCCACTGACATCAACTCGATGAATTGTAAACTTCCCATTAGCAGCCCATTTCTGAACCTATCTCTGTACCCACATTCTGTCATTCTGTTCTTCACTCAGCCCTCATACCTTCAGCCTGTGTACCCTTCCTTCTCTGGGCCCTCCTGGCAAGCTTCTACCTTCTAGCTCCTTATCCACATTCTCATTCATCCTTGTGAAGTTGAATAGGGCTGGCCTCTCATTGGCGTAGACTCCTTGCTCCTGCCTGCCTTTATACCCAGCCTTTCCCATCTGGCCTGCTTTTCTCAATGTCATTGTTAGAGTTTGTCTACCAGGGATCTAGTATTCCTTTTTCTATGTCAGTCCCACCTGTAGAAACCAGCTCTCAGGTTATCAGAAGGACATGCCATACTAGTAACTGCATTTCAACATGGACCCCATGTAATTTGGGACAATGGTGGTAGACCAGTTTCTCTTTGGAGGTTCTTCACGTTCCATTGTAGCCTAGGGGTTGGTCCGTCCCTAAGTGCACAGAGTACCTCTAGAGGTCACTGTGGCCTAATGTCATATGGCAAAGACTCAGTCTCAGCTGTGACACTGTCCCTGGATAGAACTTGGAACTCAAAACTTCAAAAAAATACAGTGGGTCAGACTTAGGGTACAGGTTCTCTAGTCGAGGTAGGGGAGAGCAAACGTTATGTCACCCAGAGGACTTGTGTTGGGCTTTTGTCACGATAGCCTTCATCTTCCCCAACTTTATTTTGAGGTTTTTTTTGTTGGGGGTGGGGGAGAGAACTGGGGTTTGAACTCATGGCTTTATACTTGAAAAGCAGGCACTGTAGACTGCTTGAGCACACCTCCAGTGCATTTTTGCTGTGGTTATTTTGGAGATGGGGTTCTTGCAAACTGTTTGCCTAGCTTTGACTGCCTCCCAATCTCAGCCTCTCAAGTAGCTAGGATTATAGGTGTATGCCACCAGTGGCTGTCTCTTTTGAGAGATTTTAAGCCTACAGAAAAGGTGAAAGAAGAGTGTAAAGATTGCTCTTCCCCCAATATTTTGTCTTTCTTTCTTGAGCCATTTAAAAGTAATTTGTCTGAAAAAAAAAGTCTTGTAGACATGGTATCTCAGTTTTTAATACTTCAGTTTATGTAACCTAAGAATAAGGACATTTCCCTATATTACTAAAATACATTATCAAAGCTAAGAAAATTATCAAGAATTCAGTGTCATCTAATAATCAGTCCCTATTAAAATTTTAAAAGATTATTAAAGTATAATCTTTTATACTTTTTAAATTTTTGGTGGTGCTGGTGTTTGAGCCTTGTGCTTGCTAGGCAGATGGCCTTTGAACTCTTGAAGGTCTCAAAGTGAGAACTTTCATCACTTTTGGACCCAGTTACCTAGTTTCCTTTACAGTGAAGTTGAAACCTTCTGTGTAAGTCCTCCCATCAGTGGCAGGCCCAAACTGCCATTCTAGGCTAGATGGGGCAGGCTGGCACCTGCCTTCATGTGATAGTACTTTTGAGATAGGAAGCTCATAAAGACCTGGGGTGTCTCATTTCACTGTCAGGTGCTCATGGATTTCTGGCCCTTCACCATCATGATACTACGTGCTCTCATGAGGAGCAGTCATAACCTTGGCAAAGCATTTGGAACAGGTGGTAGCAGTGCTAAATTGAGTCTGGAGTGGGGTTTGACCTGTCTTAGGGATGCTCCACTTTCTCGCTCTACTATTGGTTTATGTGGAACCCACTCCAACTAGCTGCTGTAGGTCTTCACCTGCTGCACTTGTCAAATCAGTTTCTCATTATGTACTTACACAATTTGTGGAACACAAATGTGCAATTTTATGTATGCTCAACTGTTAAGATTTTCTCATATTACAATTTCTATTTATCTTCAGGCTGGTGGAATGGCTCAAGTGCTAAGAACACCTGCCTTGCACGCGTGAGGCCCTGAGTTCAAACCCCAGTGCCACCAAAAAATAAAAACAATTCTACTCATCTTCAAATGAGTGCACTTTCTTGATCCTGATTTGACCATTTGATGTGTTAGTTATGTTAGTTCAGCTTCGAAATTACAGATTGAATAGACAGGCTTTCAACATGTTTGCTAAAAACATTGAGAGGGACAGGGCTGAGGTAGATCCTCCTGGTAAAAATGCATTTTAATGGCAACCCATAGGGCTGGAGGTGTGCCTGTCTAGCAAGCAAGAGGCCCTGAGTTCAAACCCCAGTACTACCAAAAAAAAAAAAACCCTCAAGACATGGCAACCCATATAATATATCCTACAAGTTTTATGTGATAATGTACTCTGATAATTCCTGTTAAGCTCACTGCTGTTTTTTTTTTAAAGAAACACTTCAGACTGTGATGTAAGACAATACCTAGAGAAGTTGTCCACATTTGTTGAATAATCTGTGAACCCAATAAAACAGGCATTACTGTGCGTTTTTATAGGAAGAGAGAGAAAGAAACACTGATTGACTGCATAGGGCAGAAGTGAGTCTCCGTGACAGTTTGCCTGTGAGTCACTGCAAAACAAGAAGTGCCTGGTGTATCTCTAGGTCCGGTCCGTAGGCATGGCTGTTCCAATACTTTGAACACTTGAGTAGGTGAGAGCACACTTGGATTGGGTGCCTGTCTCATCTTCCTACCTCATCAGGGCAACCCAAGCCAGCTGATTTCATCCTTTTGAGTCAGGTTCCTTATCTGGGAACAGGTTGAGAATGAGCTGTTGAGGATTAAATAGATAACATGTAGTTTGGTAAGCTTTTAATAAATGGTACCCATTTACTTAAGAGTAATTATCAGATGACTGCTGTTCTGAGAAGGTGAAGGACTGAGTCTACGACCTTGGTGTGGTGTTAAGCTGTGGACCAGGTAGAAACCTTTACAGTTCAATCATTTATGCATTTATTCATTG